TCAAAGATGGGCACAATGCATTTAGATGACAGCTTCCAGTTTCTAGTTGATCAAGATGAAGTCAATTTCAAAGTTGTACAGCAGTTGAACTCTGTCTTTGGAAATGACTTAAAGTGTCTAGAAAAGGCATGTGGCTTGGTCAAAGAACTGACCAGGACGAAAGAGGAGCTGGAGAGAAGGGTAGGTTTTAGTAAATCCTTGTCTGTTTGGTGGAATTGAATGTTCTTTAAAGGAAAGAAGAAATACATAATTATTCTCAAATGTTTGCTCGAAATTTAATGCAAACTTGATTTTCAGTTGCGCTTTGCAACAACTGAAGCACCGGACAAAATCACAAAGGCTGTGAAAGCTGCTGATGAAGCACTGAAGAAGAAGGAGTTGATGATAAAGGAATGTGATCAACTGAAATTAGAGGTATTAAAGATGCTATTTTTAAAGATTGTGTTGTGATTTTCATATTTTTATATCATCATTATTATCATTAGTATTAGTTTTAGTATTAGTGTTGTTACTATTTGAATAGTTATTTTTATTAATACTATTATTATTATTGTCATCATCAGCATCAGCATCATTCATCATTTTCAATAATTTTATCCAAACTCTTTTACTTTATTTGTTTTATTTATGATATTTTATCAATTGATTAATTTATTCATTGTAGAGAGATATCAAATACTTTTTTGCATACCTATTTCCAAGATTATTATTAGGATATACTACTGGAGAGAGACAGACATAGATACTGACACAGATACAGATACAGATACAGACACAGACAGTGAGAGGCACAGATTGAAAGAGACACAGACTCAGAGAGACACAGGCAGAGTGAGACACTGATAGACACTGACACAGATACAGACAGGGACAGAAAGAGACACAGACAGAGAGAGGCAAAGACAGAGACAGATACAGACAGAGTAAGAGAAACAGAGATAAAGAGAGAGACACACACACACAGACAGACACAGACTCAGAGTGAGTGCAAGAGCGAGAGTGAGAGACAGACAGATAGACAGACACAGACAGAGAGAGGGAAAGAGACAGACACAGACAAAGACAGACACAGACAGACAGATAGACAGACACAGACAGAGAGAGGGAAAGAAACAGACACAGACAAAGACAAAGACAGACACAGACAGACAGAGAGAGACACAGACAGAGAGAGATGGAGACAGAGCCAGAGAGAGACACAGACACAGATAGATTAAGAGAAACAGAGGTATAGAGAGAGACGCACACAGACAGACACAGACATAGAATGAGTGTGAGAGCGAGACTGAGAGACAGACAGGCAGACAGACAGAAAGTGAGAGAGACAGACACAGACAAAGACAGAGAGAGAAAAACACAGACAAAGACACAGAAAGAGACACAAAGACAGAAACAAACACAGACACAGAGTGAATGCGAGAGTGAGAGAGAGTGTGAGTGTGTGTATGCATACATATGAATACATATATATTTTTTCTTCAGGTTGCAGAGCATAATAAAAAAGTTGGGAAACTTTTAGAAGAAATAGGACCAGGAGTTCGCAAAGTACGAGAGCTGGAACGCGTTCAGGTGTACCAGCAGTTTGTAAATGCCGTAGACGAACAAAGGTAAGAGGAATGATTTGAGCTCGACTCAGCTACTCTTAGATAGGAGGGTGACCTCTGACTTCTTAAACTTGTGTTATACCATATATATTTTCTTGTGTTATACGTTCTCCAAAACAGCATAGAGTTTGTATTTTCTTATGATTAAACTGTACACTATACAGATTTTACTCATCTTGATTTTCCTGGTTTTACATTTCTTGTTACTTGTCTAGTTTTGTTATAGGGAATGGCTGTGTTCTATATTAGTCTACTGGAAGTACATGCAAGTTCCATTAACATAAACTTGTTGCAAATGGCATGCATATCCCTTAGTCAGGAAGAAGGTAGTGCTAAGGTGTAAAGTGAAATGGGATTATAAAAGAGAGACAGACAGAGAGAGACACAGACATACTTTGTATACTGTATACTTTGTTTATCATATGTAACATTTTTGTTTGCAAAAATTTGTATTTGCATTTTGTTTTCAGCAAAGAGATAGAAACCTCATTACATATAGGGGCGGAAGGTCAGGCTCTGCTTGGTTATAGTCGACTAAGAGAAAAAGCCAAGCTGATTCAAGAATCCACTTGCTCGAATCTTGTTGCTTTTGTCACCAACACCCTCCTCCACTGGCATCAAGTTTTCACTCAGAGGTTTACAAGGTAAGTAACTGCTGTGGTTGATTTTGTGGCTAGTTGATTTGAAGTGGTTTAGTTATTGTGGGAATGGTGTAGTTTAAATGTGAACATGTGTATCAGTATGTAGATCAATAAAAATTATGCTAGAGATGGTAATTGGAAAGCTTTTTGTATATCTGTCTTCATATATATATTTATCTTTTTCCAGTGAATTTGAGGATGTATTGAAGGTAATCAAATGGCCTTTTACAAGTTCCAATTCTACTGTGCACCAGA